TACAAAAAGAACAAGGAGATTTTTTTTGTTTCCTTGATGGAAAAAGGCTTTTAGTAAGAGTAAAGTACAGTGAATTTCAATTTCACAGGTGTCTCTGAACATATGATCGGTATCCAACCCTCAGCAGACACAGACACACTAAAAACATGGACGACACTAGGTAATCACATTTTCTGCCTGACTCGCCTCTCTGTCAGTGTGTCCTCCTTCTCTTCTCTGCACCTCTCCTCTCTCCTGTTTTTAACCATCCAAAAATCTCTCCCTCTTCTTGGCCTGAGGGTGCGACTGGCTGCTGGTGCCAGATCCGAGGACACCAAATGGGAGCTGTAATTATCATTGCTCCAAGACTGTCCTGTCAGTGTGCTCTCCAGCAAAACAATAGGGATCCTTTGGAAGTCCTGATCAAAAGCTTTGGCCTTTGATCACGAGGCAAAAGGGAAAAAAACCCTAAACACTGCAAAATCAACGAGGAATGTCCCAAAGAGCGCGTTGGAGAATGGAAACGACAGCTGTCCAGAAGACATCCTCAGCTCCTCCTCTGCTATGACGTGCTGATGTCAGGAGCACAGGTGTTTGGTCTGTGTTTGATCTGATCCATGTATGCAGAGGACTGAGACAGTGACTCATGCAACGATGTTGTTGCTCGTGTCTGTCAGATAGCACCTGGTATATGCTCCACAACAGGCCAGATCTTTCTGCTTCTGCAAAGGCATAAGAGGATTTCGATGGAAAGGTCTGCAAGATTAAAACACTGTACATCCATGAAGATATATCTTGGATGGAGGTGCTCTGCATGACCCAATCAGTGTTTACAGAGAAGGTTACTTTGAATGCTTCGAAATTAATTTGCAGCTGAGTGACAGAAGAAAGTAATAATAGAAGCCCATTTTGAGGGCCTTAGCCAAAATCTACAGGGGCACAAGTCATGCTGCTTCAGCGACAACAAACCACAGCCTCTGGAACCTTTGAAACCCTGTGTGGTCATTTTCTCTCAGAGTGCTGAAAAGAACTGTGGTGGGTGGGAAAGAAAAAAGAGCCCCTCGCCACTCATAATACCAATCTTATGTATGTAGACGAAAATGGGAGGGATGGGAGGGGTTCGGGGGTGGCAGTCAGACTAAGGCACAATTTTAAAGCGCTTATTGAATTGCCATTACAGCTCCTGAGACTAATTGTGGCTGTTGTGTGTCTCTCGGTGGCCTAGGGGGCTCTGGAGTGGCCCTGTATGCTCTTACTCAGTGGGGTTTTCAAACCGAGTGGCCCTGAAAGAGAACAGGACCACCGTAGATCAATGGCAAACCTTTCACTCTTTCACAGGCCCTCGCTAATCCTTCTCATTTGTCTGCCATTTGTTGAAGCACATTCACAGTTCCCTGAATTTAGGATTAGGCCTTGTTTTGTTACAAAAACAGCCCAAGTTATAATGCTGAATAGATGGACTCAAGGGTGGACGATGGAAGAGAGTGCATGTGAGCTTGCGAGCATGTGTGCATTTGAGTGTGTGTGTATGGTTATTGGGTACACACTATGTTCATGACCAAAATTAATAAGAATACAGAACCTATTCAGTGTTTGGTCTCAATTCTCATTCCAATGAGAAGTGATGCAAAAATGAGTTTGTCGTCTTTCCCAGATGACTCGCTGTAGCCTTTATGTTCACAAAAATGAAAATACAGGCCTTCCAATAGCTCTCATATTGTTGTGTCTTTTCTTAAATAGTCTATTTACTATGTGTATGTTTGTGAACTGATGCACATAAGAGAAGACAAAGACAGAGTTCATGGTCCTCAGTCTCCTTCTCAAAATAAAGATTTCATAAAACAGAGGAACATGAACAAATTGATTCATCACAGTCAAATTCCTGCACAGGAAATATAATTTCACTGAAGTTACAATAATTCCCTTTGAAGCCTCGAGGTTTGTCTCCATTGTGCTCTGTCTGACCCTGAGACTATGTATGGACAATCTTGGCAGCCTGCAGCAGTAGCCATCAGGCTGCAGCCTTCTCATCACTGAGTGGATTAGTGCTCATGTCTGAAGCCACTTAGTGGACATCAGACGGGGCTGCTGAGTGGCACATGCGCCACAATTCCCCTAAAGCGGTGCCATGCCACGCTGCAGGTATGTGGTACAGACCGGCCAAACCCCATGTCAGGCATTCTCTGGATGCCTGCAAGTGTGCCAGACACCAGGGGACGAGGTCGAGAGATGGACGGAAAGATGTCTCTGATGAATCAGAAAGGATGAGAGGAAAATAAAGGAAAGCAGATGAGAGAACATCTAATATGGGTTAATAGTAAAATAGTAATAGTAAAAGTATTATGATGTCACAATATTGGTGTATGCGTGTGACATCAGACTAAGTTGTTATACTTATTGCAGGTGGTAAAAAACTTCAACTTAATGTGTTGATATTTCTGTCTTGCAGAGACTTTCTGGACTCTTGTCTCCACAGTGAGGTTGCCAAGCCAACCAATAGAGACTTGAGTTTTAACAAACGAGAGGTCATGTGCTAATTAACCCTAATGAGCTCTACAGTTTTTTTCTAAATCGGGGGCCATAAGATAAAAATATGTCTAACATCCATGTACAGCTACTGATTCAGTAAGTTGCACATTAGAGTAATTCCTTTTTTACTGTTAGCTCTATAACTTTAACCAAAGCCACATATCATTGTAAATATTTTGAAAATTGTTCTTTATTCAAGCACATAGTGTACTTTAAAAAAAAAAAAGTTTTTCAAAAAATTAAAACACTCTTAACAACTTGTCATATTTATTGTAAGTAAGTGATTCATTTTTTTTAAGACAACAGACTGGATGTGGTCACTTCAGGGGCAAATCAGATTTCAACTGAAACCCTGTATCTGCCCCTAGAGCTTTAGCTTTAGTGCAAGTAAGCACATTTTTTTTTAACAATAAACTTTAACTAAAAAGAATATATTGCTGTTTAAATTGCTGCTGTATGTCTGAGTGGAAAGAACTGACACGGTGATGCAGTGGTTAGAACTGTCGCAGTCCCGGTTCAAATCCCAGTTTGTTCTTTTTGTGTGGTGTTTGCTCGTTCTCCCCGTGTTTGATGTTGGTTTTCTCGCGGGGCTTCCTCCCACTGTCCAAAGACATGCACATTGGGGTAAGGTTTATTGGAGGCTCTAAATTGACCATAGGTGCGATTGTGAATGGTTGTCTGTCTCTGTAAGCTGGCCCTGGGATTCGGTGGCGACCTGTGCGGGATGCACCCCATCTCTCACCCAATGCCAGCTAGGATTGGCTCTGACGCCCCCAAGAACCTTACAGGATAAGTGATATGGATAATTGACAGTTGGATGGATCTATACCGATCTTTATTTCGATTTGAATTAATTGTTATTTGTATAACACAAGGCACTCTCTATAATAAGGTTATTATCTTACAATATCTTAGAGAGAAACCCAACGGTTCCTACAATTAGCTGCTCTTGGCGATTATGGAGAGAGAAAAAAATATCTTTTAACGGGAAGAAAATGCCATTAGAACTGGAGGTCAGTTTGTCAACAGTTGAGAGTGAGGAGAGAGAAAGGGGGGAGAGAGGAAAGAATGAGAGACAATGTAACCAAATCTTTGGGAGACGTGTGGGCCCTCATTTCATCCAATTTTATTCAGTTTCTGTATGTGATACTATCCCACTATTTTTCAAACAGATAATGTAACACTGTTACAGCAATACTGTCACTGCT